ATTCCGTTCATTAATAGGAATCCATTATTACATTCATTTATAACACTTGTGTCATTTTTTAAAGACTTTATTGCATATTTAACATCGTTACCAATTAATTTACAATATTGTGTATCAATTGATTTTTCTACAACTCTCATGTATGATGAAATACACTTTACACATTTGTTTGATTTTGATTGTTCACAATTAAAATATTCTTTTGTTTCGCATTTGTTGGTTGTTGTTAAAAGATGTCCGTCTAAACAAGTGATACATTTACCATCACGGCAATTCGAACAGTTTTCTATACCACAATTAATACACATATTTTCTTTAATATAAGTATTGGTATTTGCAACACAACTCACACAGTCGTTTCCATCAATCGTGTCACATTTGTCATTCAAAATACATTTGTCTTCTTTTGTGTCAATCACATTATAATTTTCACAGTAAATGCCATGTATTTTAGAATTCACCATTTTACATTTAATGCTATTTGTTTTATCATCTTTACAATTATGACACAAATTGTTGTTATCAAGATATTGATCATCTTTACATTTGAAAATTACATTGTTTTTGTACAAGTAGTCTTTGTTGTCATTGCTACAGACACCACTTGTATCAAAATTGGACCCGTCATTGCATTGGAGACATTTTGTTAATGTTTTATTTTTATAATAATATTTACAATTTGACTCTTCGCAGTTTCCAATCGTTGTGATTCCATTTCCACAGTTTTCACATGTGATTTTCGAGTTTGTTTCACACAAATTTTTGTTGTCAAAAATTTCACATGTTTTATTCCTTAAATGATATTCAGTTGGACATTTCAGGCATCCATTATCTCCATTCTGAAGTTCACAATCTCCATTGTTATTTACACAAACATTTCCAACATAATTTGTGTAACTTTGACATTCGACACAACTTCCTTCTATAAGTTCAAAAGGCGGATAACATACTTTACATTCTGCTTCATAATTTCCAAAGTTTTGACACAATTTACAGTTGAGTTTATTCTTGTAACATTCGTCGCAAGTACTTGAAGTGTTTTGGTAAAGGTGGCTTGGACATTCACATTGATAATCATTGACTACAAATCTGTCTCCACAAGATGTGCATTGATACTTTTCTGTTTGACTGCATGTTACACAATTTAACATTTTACTGCACGGAGAGCATCGTTTCTCTTCTGGGAAATATCCAACTTTGCATTGTTGACAACCACTAACCACATCACACTTGTTTACTTCACAATTATAATCACAATCAACACATTGATTGTTGTTGAAATATTTTCCTTTTTCACATGTTAAACACCCATTTACTTGGTTGTTTGAACACGTCAGACATGATTCATGACATGGGGAACACTTTTTGTTTTCAACGAAATGGTGTTGGTTGCATTGAGTGCATCCAGTCGTATTTAAACACATGTTTTGTGCACAATTTGTGTCGCATAAAATACATTGTTTTCCGACTAAATAACGAACTTTGTCTGTACATGATAGACAGTCTAAATTTGAACCATTGTCACACGTCAGACATTCTTCGTGACATTTGTTGCAAGTCATATTGTTTTTATAATAACCATTTATGCATTCGGTACAACCCTGGACAGTGTCACACTTGTTTGTAAAACAATAAGGACTGCATTGTAAACATTTATTATTTTGAAAATATGTATTTTCTTTGCAAGATAGACAGTGTGTACTTTGCATGGAACACGTCTTGCAATTTGAATCACAAGCAGAACATCTTTTGTTTTCGATAAAGTGTCCATCGGGGCACAATGTACAACCAAGAGTCGTATCACAATTGTTTGTACACAATGTATCACAAACTGTACATAATCCGCCATTGTAATATCTTCCCCTTTCACATGTCAAACACGTGTTTTCTGTATTTGAAGAACATGTATAACACGTTGAATGACACGCAGAACATCCTTTGTTATTAACATAATATTTTACTGGACATTCCGTGCACCCCGATATATCAACACATTTACCATAAACACAGTTTGAATCACATTCATTGCAATACCCATTATCAAGATAACGAACATTTCTTACACATGACAAACAGGTGCTTTCGGCATTCGAAGAACACGTCAAACAATTGGTATGGCATGCAGCACAACCCTTTTCACTCACATAAAAATGATTTTGGCATTGGGTACACCCTTGGTTATCAAAACAATATCCAGCAACACAATTTGTATCACATGATTTGCAATACCCATTTTCTAAATATCTTGTACCTATCACACAAGATGTGCATTGATTAGAACTTCCTCCTGAACAAGCCGAACATGTTGAGTCACAACGAGAACATCCTTTGTTATTAACATAATAATTTGCATTGCATTGAGTACATCCTTGTGAATTTACACATCTCCCATCCACACAGTTTGTATCACACGCCATACAAACTCCTCCATCAAGATAATAACCAGAATCACAAGAAGTGCAACTTGACTGTGTACCTCCATAGCATGTTTTACAACTAGCGTGGCAACTTGCGCAACTCAACCCATTCTTATAAAATTTGGGTTTGCATTGGGTACAACCTTGGTTATCAGAACAATATCCAGCAACACAATTAGTATCACACTGATAACAACCAGAATTATAAAGATAATATCCCGTTTGGCAAGCTGAACATTGATTACTTCCAGGTCCACCACATAAGGTACAAGGTAATAAACATCTTGAACATCTTTTTGAAGCTATATAAAAACCATCTTTACAACTTGTACATCCGTTATCGTGGCTACAATATCCAGTTCGACAATTTGGATCACAATATGTACACACTCCATTGAGAATGTAATAATTTGCTTCACATGTTATACACTGGTTGTAATTTGGTCCATTACATGCGTTACAATTTGTTGTGCATTTCCCACATCTTTTTCCTTCGACATAAAAAGTACTCTTACATAAAGTACAACCAGTTTGTCCACATGTATTACAATTTGGATCACACATTGTACACCCTTTGTTTTCTTGATAATACCCATTCCAACATTGTGTACATCCAAGTTGAGTACCACATGTAGTACAAAATTGACAATTTATACACTTTCCATTTAACAAATATTGCCCATTATTACAATCTGTACATATTTCTTCAGAACTACACGTTTTGCAATTATTGTTACAATGATCACACTCAAATTCACTGTTTAAATATAGTCCATCATAACAATCAGAACATACCGATGGATTTGAATTGCATTGTTTACACACGGAGTTGGCACATCGAACACAATTTTGTAAATAATTGAGATAATATCCATCATTGCAAACCATACAAATTTTAGGATTTCCCATATTACAAGTGTTACAATCTGAAACATAACACGTTTCTTTTTTAACCTTTGTTTTTTTATTGACTAAATAATCTTCAAGTTTAAACTCTTGTTGTTTATCAATAAATCTCATTTTAACTTCGGTTCCATTTGGCAGATTTACGTTAAGTTCAGTTTTTACATTACATTCAATTGTCAAATCGATATCATTTTCATTTATTGAAATAAAAGAGCCTTCAACACTCCATTGGTATGAATTTGAACACTCTTCATATGTTTTAACACATACAATCTTTGTGTTTTCTTTACACCATTTAATTCCAAAAACAAATCCAATTAATACAAATACTAACATTAATTTTGTTTTATAAAATTATTAGATTCTTCTTAATTATTTTTTAATGTTTCTAAAAAATGTTCATACTCGATTTATCTTAAATTGGATTCAAACAACCCGGTTTCTTATCACCTATTTTGGTCAAGTATTATTTTGTTATATTTTTAATTGGGAATTTTTTAATTTATGTAAACAATTTGATTAATTATTAAAAATAATTTCTTTTATTATTATTTGATAACCAGAATACAATTAAAATTTATAAGTATTACCAAAATTAAATATCAATTTAGTTGATAAACAAATAAAACCGAGAAGTTTGCAAAATGAAAAGTCATTTAAAAGTGTGATGAATACAATTGAAATATTATTATTTTATTATTTTACATATTAATAACATAGTTTTAATAAAATTTCGTTTTCAAAACTACATTGAGTTTGTCTATGTTATCAATTTATATGTAAACAATGGTTAAATACTAAAGTTTTTAATAAACATTCAAATGTTGTGAATAAATTTAAAAAATATTAATATTTTAAATATATTTTTGATATTTTCCAAATGTGATTGAATAAAAAAAATGAGTTTTTCGGCTGATTATATAACAAGTTTTATTTTATTTACATTTAAAAATATTGATATTTTTAATTTATATTTTAATCAAAAAAATCAAAAAAATGATTTTTTACACTTTCACCACGCAAACCACAATTCATTTTTATTAAAAAAATAACAACAAAGTACTTAATTACCTAAGATTGGTACAAAATAATAATTTGGATAAGATGCAGTACTGTTTGGGGTTTTAATTTTGGTGTAATATTATCTTGTAAGAAGAATTCACAAATAAACAAAATTTTTTAGGATATGTTGGTTAATTTCCAAAACCATCGACCAACTATTATTAAAACAATGTTTTTTAAAAAAATAGAAAAACTATAAAATATGAATCTTTTAATTAATCATTTAACCTGTCTTATTTGTTTATCCACAACCGAGTCAAAGTTATTTTATATTCTTTATATTGATTTATCTATGTTGTTGAATATGTTTAACAATCATCAATAATTTGCTGAATGTCTAACATTCCAATAACTTATTTATTCTCTATTGTTTTTTCATGAACCACTTTATGCTGAACGAAAAATGACTTATCAAGAATTAATAATAGAGAAGAATATATTTACTTCTTACAAAAAATGAATGATCGGGTTAACACTGGATAAAACAATTTTTGTTAAAAGTGTATTCATATAAAGTCGGATTTTTAATTAACGATGGAGAAAATTAACTATATAATTAGTTTTTTAATTATAATAAATAGTTTTTTCTTTTTTTTGAAATAATTATTTTTTTGTTTTATTTTTAAAATTTTTTACTTTTTAACCACATTATTCATTCAAAAAAAGGAAAGCAAGAAATGTGGAGTTCGTAATTTCTTTTCTGGCTAATTTATGAGTAATATCGACCAACCGGCAGACCAATTAATTTTGTTAATCACATAAGTGTCATTGTTATAAGGCGATTAATAGGTCTTGCAAATTGATTAGAAAAGCAAAGTAAAAAATTGATAACCAGCGTTTCTTTGAGAATGTCAAATGGTAAAAATTCATAATAAATTTACTATTTATTTATGGTTTTCAATTAGCGATGGTCGATACTATATATTATAATATAAAAAAACTGATATAGTAAACTTCCTGTTGTATTTTTGGAATATCGTTAATTAAAAATCAGACTTTATACTATTAATATTTCGGGAATTGACTACTTATTTTTTAATATTATAAATATAGTAAAACAAACTATATTAATAAATTATCAAAATTATTAATTATTTATCAAGTGCAGAGAAAAATACAATAATAAAACAAAGCTTTTACGTGTTAAAATGATTTGTCGTTGATTCACAACGTCTTATTAAAACTTTATTATTCTGTTTTATTTTCCAAAATCATTAAACAGACTTGTTAACACCACTTTTTAAACTCAATGTGTTTCACCAAAATCAGTCAATTACATTACAATTTGTTGTAAAAACAGTCAATGAAAAATATCAAATTTTAGAAAATGTAAACTTGAGTTACAAATCAGTTTCCACCCATTGTGAAATAGCTTGTAATGGTGTTGTTGAGTATTCATAACACGTACTTTATTGAAATTTTTTATTTGTTAAATAAATAATATAATATAGTCATGGTAAAAAAGGTTGTTGAGTAAAAATGGTTGTTGATTGAATAAAGGTCCGGTATATTGTTACATTTCAATAAAAGTTACACTTGTCGTGTACCTTTAATTGAAGTTGTTTTCCCTTCAAACAGAACGAAAAAGAACATATTATTCAAATCAAAACGAAAAAATAAATAGAAAATGAAGGGAAAGAAGATTTCTTCTCATTTATAAACAATAACAAAAAACAATAACAAAAAGATGATAAAAGTTTCAATTAGTTGAATGCTCTAGTCAATGGCAAGAGTATTTTATGATTTAAACAAGTAAAAAGCCAATCATCAAAAGAAACGCTAAACCTAACGGTCAACACTTTCTGTATTAACAAAACGTAAACAAACTCCACAAATTCACCTTTTTGACAACCAGTATTGGTTCAACTAAAGCAAATAAAGCCATCGATAAACACATTGAATAAAGAGAAATAAAAAACAAACAATAATAAGCAGTCGTGAAAAAAAGATTGTCGATGTTATAATAATTAAGGAAAATGCAGTTGTTACTTAAACGCGAGTAAATAATAAAAATATCAGTTTAATTGATCTGTTAAATATGTAAAAATCAGAGTTGATCTGTAAAAACTTAAAGGTTACAAGATGTCATAATTTGACAATTGTATCAAAAAGACGTTTTTAAAACCATATTTTTATTATTTTAAACTTAAATAATATTAACCATGATTGGAGAATAAAATAAATTTCATTTTGAATTCCTTTTGATCTTGTGTACTTTAATTATCCTACAGGTCAGCCCAACTACATTGAAATATCAGTAAATATCAAAAA